ACCCAGGGTTGCTTAACTACTGAGCCACATCCCCAGCCCTTTTTATATTTTATTTAGAGACATGGTCTCTCTAGATTGCTTAGGGCCTTGCTAAGTTGCTGTGGCTGGCTTTGAACTTGTGATCCTCCTGCCTCAGCCTCTCGAGCCTCTGGGATTTCAGGCTTGGGCTACTGCTTTTGGTCCTTGAATTTATTCATTTATTCATTCATCCCATAAACATTTATTGAACACTTTCTTGGTGTAATGTGTATATATATATATTTTTAACTAGGCATTGAAGGGAATGTTATAACAAGAGCTGCCGTTTATTAATTTTCTGCAGTATACCAAGCGTTCAGCTTTCATTTTTTTTTCTCAACCTAATTCTATAACCCAAGGACAATACCTCCATTTTAAAAGTGTGAGAATAGAGGAAACTGAAAGTCAAACAGGTCAGAAGATAACGTGCGGACTTATTTGTGAGGCTTCTGAGTGCGTGCTCTTTCTATGCTGCAAAACCCTGGAGACTTATTTCAACTCCGAGAGACTTCCTCATTAAATGGAAATATAATTCAGTGTGATCATGAACCAGGAATGTTATGGAAACTCAGATGGAAGATCAGAACATTTCCAAGCCTTGGGTCCATTACTAAAGGTTTAAGGAGGAAAATAAATCCCAAGAGAGTAGGACCCACTGACTGTGCATGTTATCCTAAGTGAAAGTTTTCTAAAGTTCTATTTTATATATTTATGTGGCCTTCTAAAATGCTTTTTGGAAGAACACACAGTGTGTAACTAAAGAAACCAATTAAACGCAGTCAATATTATACCCATGAAGTTGAAGTACAGAAACTTTGGAGGTCATGTAATGTCTTGTTTTGTAATATAATAATCTACGCGAAATAACTTTTCCATATGTCAATGAGACTGGGTAGCTTGCATTCTTATCTCAGTACTAAGGTCAAATCACAGAAAAGCAATACATTTTTCTGAGATCTTCCCAGTGCCACTTTGTCTCAGAATATCTTCAAGTAAAAGAATATTGTAATTGATGGACTAAAAGGATAATAATACACACAGTGGATTTTCAATAGAAGCCTTCTCAAGGCCACATTTAACTGCAGTTTCAGATGAAACAGAATCATAAAATTTAAATAGAAAAAGTCACGATTGCTATTAGAAAAGGAGTCCATTAATAGAGTCCTTGCAAAGAAAAGCTGAAACCCAGAGTCAAAGTTTTAATTTAGTTTTTTGATGTCTGTTAAGTTTTCTCCCACTTCTTGGGCAGTTAGTTCCCTCTGAAATATCAATTCTATTTTGGAAATGAAGATCTTGACACTCATTAAACTACTCTGGTTTCTCTTCAAATCACATAAACCTTTAAATTACAGAAATGTTCTTAAATTATGTGTCATGTTTTTTCATCTTTTCTGCCTCTAGGGGGAAGTGTGTTTTCAACAATTCTGTCCCCAGAAGGTATTTTCTTGTAGGCTATAGGCTGTCAGAGTGTTCTTTAGTGTGACTTCAGAGCTGACTGGACAAGGAAGAGGCCCCTTGAAAATCTGGACAGTCCACTTTAAAGGTTGCAGCCAGGATTCTGAGGGAGCAGGGTGGTAGAGATTGTTACGAATGGTTAGAGAAAACTTCATTCCAGTAGCTTTTCTACTGCATTTCATAGATTCACGCTAGTTGCCTTATGTGGTGCTGCCTTTCCAGATAGAAGCAGAATGATATATGGACACAAATTTCAGTTCACAGAGCTGGAAACTAAGCAGTTGAATACTCTATGGAAACATTGCCTCCTTATATTAGTAGCTTAAAGTTTAAAAATCATGGTTTTTGGATATTGATGAAAACATATCTAAACCTATAAAAAAAATCTATTAATTTCTATAACATCACATTTAGGACTAACATTGTCTTCAGGCTTTCAACTGGTTAATTTTATTTTGTAGCATTTCTTCATAACTTTTATTTGTTTTCATGTGACATTTGAAGCCAGAAAAGACGCACCCATTAAAAAGCTTAGTGGTTTTTTTAAATATGAAAATATGCTTCTTTTCTCCTATTTCAATGCTTCACAGAGTGAAAAGGAATCATATTTAAAAATTGAGTCCAAGGAAGAGTTATTTCTATTTTTCATTCTTTTCCTTTTTTCTTGTTTTAGTTTTATGATAGTATTAGAAAAATTCTGTTATAAAATGATGTTATTTTTAAGTTTTAGTGGGCCATATAGCTTGGAAACAGCAATATATAAGATTAAAAAAATCGGTACAAATAATGTTGTTACTTAAAGTGGGAGTTGGCTTTGTCTCTAACCCTCTTAAGATGTTCTCAGGGGTTGAAGAGGTATTTATATGTATGAATTATACTCTTTGGGCCTCAATTCTTCAACTAGAGAAGTGGAGATGTCAAGCTGAGTGACTTCTTGCAGAACTCCACTATATTTACACAAACTCTCAGCTGGCTACTAAAAAAATAATCTGATTCGATGGAAAGAAAACAAGCCCATACCATTAAAATTCATATACTTGTAATACTTGGTGAGTCTTTCTGTAATCTTCTGCCTGTTTGCATTTGAAGAACTTTCTTTGGAATCCTAACTTCTGCTCACTGGAATTTTCAAGGGGTGTTTGGAGTATGTGCAAGGGTAGGAACACCAGCTTTCTTGGTGTTCAGTGACAGAACTGTTCAGTGACAAGCTGGAAGTTGAGGCTAAGGTGCTCACCCTGACGTAATCGCACTGCCCTGCAGCTGACCTTCGGGAGAAGCTGGGCAGCACTGGGATAGGAGAGGCATTCATGCCGGTTGCCACTGAAACCCCAGACTCTCCCGAGTAAGCCCACATCACACATTGCAGAATCATATCGCCCTTGGCGGGTGTTCCCCAGACACTGGGCATAACGGGGAGTAATCGGAAACCTCTGTCCTTCACGTCTCCTGGCAACCAGTTGAAATCCATTAAGACCCTTGGAATTCTGGATTTAGCTGTTGTCTTTTTTTTTTTTTGAAGTAACTATGATCCTATAAACAAACGTCCGCCCTACTAGAGCTCAGGAAGGATTTAATTGCTGTGAAGCGCTAAATCTAAATTTCCAGTGTGTGTGTGTGCATTACCTGTTTGTTGGAATTACATTTTATATAGATGCTGCTTTTGCTACTGGTTGGCAGCTCTAAATTAGTTCTCCTAGGAGTTAGAAGCTCCTACTTTAGGATTTAGGCAAAAACGGTGCATAATCTGAAATCTAAAAGACCAAGAGGCTGAGACGTTACCCATAATTACAGTTATGATGCCAGAAAGAGCGATAAGGAGAGTCGTTAAGAGCGAAGAGAGCTGATGCCAAAAGTTGCCACATCTCCGGAAACCTCAATTTGCCTTTTCACGGTCACAAATCAGAGCGAGGGCGCTTTAGGGCCTTAACGTTAAAAAAAAAAAAAAAAAAAAAAAAAAAAAAAAAAAAGCGCCTGGGCGGTGGCACCGGGGTTAAGATGTAAGCTTCTTCTGCCGAGAGAGGGCGTACGTTGAAGACTAATAGAAATTTGTGGACTGGGACGCCCAGTCAAATGAAAGAACATTTTAAAACATTTTTCAATTTATGTTAATTTGCGGGACTTAAGTGTTAGAATTCTCTCGTGCAATGCAGCACGTTCACAGTGCAAATGACTTCGGTGTGTTAAGGCGTACAGAGGGTCCAGTTCCTTTTTGACCTGCCTAGCTGCCGGCGAACTCCTTGCGATGCTCCTCTGTTTCCACCGCGTCTCTACTGCCGTAGTGGCCGTGACCAGTGAATAGACTGGGTCTAGGAAGCAGGACCTTCCTTGGCATCGCTAGCCTCCAGCCTAGTGCCTAGCGCACTCGGGAGAAGAAGCGGATGGATCTCCACGAGCTCGGTCTGGCAGAGTGCGTTCGTCCCCACTCAGGTGATCTTCCAGGAAGCAGAGCGAAGAGACAGTCCCTTTATTTAGTTACCTGGTTTAACAAACAAAGCCTGGAGAACGTCTCGGCGACGCATTTCAAGCTTAGTGCCACCTCCAGGAGCCGAATCATTTGCTCGCTCTTGGGAGCAACAAGTTTCGCTTTCTTGCTTTCGGTGCGTTGGCGGAGGGTTTGCAGGCGGAAACACAGTGACCGACCCCGACACCGCTGCGACTCCCAGAGTGAACCTGCGCGGCTCAGAGGGAGGGGGCTGGCGGAGTCGGGGAAGGAAAGGTGAGGGTAACGCCCGGGTCGGCTGGGCACGTCGGTCCCTCAAATGAACCTTCTGCATTGGGACCTTGCTCCTAGTTTTCTGACCTTTCTCCAGGCGAACAGAAAGGTCAGGTGCCCGACCGGGATAGGCTCACCAGGGAGGAATGTGCACGGATCATTAAAGAGGTGAGAGCAAAGGGGACCTACGACTTTTGCACCAAAACTGTCAATTTCGAGAACCACTCCCTCCTTACAATCCTGTCGTCTGCCCCCCCCCCGTGTGTGTTTGTGTGTGTGTGTGTGTGTGTGTGTGCGTGTGTGTGCGCTTGCGCGCGCGCATTTCTTTACTTTCAAACACATTTCCTCTTTTAAAGCCTGGAGCTGGAGAGAGCGTGGCCAGGGAAAGGCGGGGATCGGAGAGGCGCGCGGATCTGTAGGGGCTGCTGCGGGTGCAGACGTGGGCGGATGAGGGTTTAAGGAACCGGCCTAAGGCCGGCCAAGAGTGAGGGTTAGGGAAGAGGGGAGCGGCGAGCAAGGAAGGGGTGCGGGGAGGAGCCCTGATGTAAGAATGTTAATGACGGGCTCCCCCAGCCCAGCCCCCACCTTTCCCCACCCCCACCCACCCCACCCCCTCACT